GAGACCGGAATGGCCATTTCTGGCTTATTAGCCGTCATCAGCCAGTCAACCGGGAAGGCAACGAGCCCGTGGTGCAATGGTATAGTGTTGCACTCAATGGCTAGAGGTCCTGGGTTCGAATCTCGGGGGTTCTGACCCTCGAGATTGGGTATGACTGGCTGCTGACGGCTAACAAGCCGGAAATGGCCATTCCGGTCTCCATTGTCTTTGTCACTTCCAATTCATCTATATATGCAGAAGGATATCACCGTCAAAGACAAGGGAGACTGTAATGTCCATTTCTGGCTTATCAACTCTCATCAGCCTGCCATACCAACTCCGGGGGTTGCGCCCCGAGGGTCAAACCCGCAAACTTGTTAGTTAGAAGTCTAGCACTCTAAGCACTGCGGCACGAGCTCGTTGCCTTGACAGTTTCGATCTGGGTATATAGTATTATTGAAACCGAGTTTAATTGGAGGACGATGTCGAGAATCGATTGCAGTTTGTCAATGCTAGTGGTCCGCAATGCTGATATTCCAAGATCAAAAGTCGGGGAAAAAGAATCGGATGCTGGACTTTACTGAGTAGAATAATGCATCCAAGGGCTTGAGAATATGCTCTGAAAACTTGATTTACTGTGTAGCAGCTAGTTGGCAGTGGCCAATAGAGTTGATTGGTTAAGTTGAGGCAGGACCCACTACAGATCGAACAATCAGCGAGCCATGCAAATGATCATTTGTATCGAACATTGCTCGACCTGTGGCTTGGCGAGTGGGAACGAAACGCGTGTGATGTTAGTTGCGAAGTCGGCGCTTGCAGAACAAAAGACTTCGTTTGACTGCGTCTCAGTAAGTGCATCATAGAGCGTTGTTCAAACAGACCACAGTCTGATACGAGAAAATCGATACCCCTTTGTTCCTCTGTATGCTATTGCTTCGGCGCCAGCTACTGTTCTTGCAACGGAAAAAAAGCAACAAAACGCTTGTCTGGACCTTTAAGTGAGCAACTGAGTCTGAACTCAGATCTCTGATGAGTTCGTTTTGAGGCCGCAGTTGATTGACAGCTGTAAAACGGGACAACGATAGTCCCGCCCCTCGCGTTTGCACGGTAGTGCTTATTGATTGCTGGCCGACTGTGTAATCGTGTATTGGGAGTTCGGTCCAGAATTTTTCTTTTATTTTGAATACTATTTTAAATTTACTGGACGTTGAGGCTCAGGCATTCCCAAGGGGGTCCAACAGGACAGAAAGTTGGAGATAGAGTTAGTTGCCACTCAGACTCGATGGGGCTATCAGACCTCTAGAGGATCCTTCTTGATATGACTTTTAGCCACATGAACGCAATCCTATACAATCAGTTCACCTATGTTTATGGCATTACTTTCATATAGCCAAGGATAGTGGTTGCATTTCATTTACTGAAAGGTTATGAATAGATGTTCTAGAATGGGGGACACATCAGGCACAATTGACGACACTTTCCTGACTAAAACTACTATCGATTCATCTGTCCAAAACTAGACGAATGCATCGGATAATTGGGCAGAACCTGAACAATATTCCTCAGTCGCGGCTGCTGGCAAGGTAACTATCTCC